TGGAGCCCAAATTCCACATTTTACCGTTCATATCCATCCACCTCTAACTTCCGCTCACTCACTAATTATAGACAATTCCGAAACTTCCCGTATCGTCTTTGAAAAATATACATGTTCGAAACACTCCCCTCATCTCTTAATCCCGCTGAAGATCAAATCTCTCACTTTACTAAATTTGCCGTCCAAAGAGGGAGTTTTCTTTTTCCATCAAAGGACGAGTACTATCTCATTGAAAAATAAATCTCGTGGGATGCTGGAAAATTTGAACTAAAATTTTGACAAAAAAAAGCACAAAAATGCCCGTAGACTGACAGTTAAAAATGGATAATCACAAAGATGACAACCAAACCTCTCTCCCAGAGAATGGCGAGGTATATGCATATCACTTCTCAATCACACCTCTGGGATTATTTTTCTTCAATTCCTAGTCTTGCTCCTCCATCTCTGCCAGCTTCGACTGGGACATTATCTCGACGAAGACGGCTAATAAATGGTTTCTTTTGGCTTTCGCCAGACTTGTCGCAATTTCCTCTTTCATCTTCCTTCATTTCTGTTGGTGTTAGATGAGGAGTTAGGTATACCTTGATACATGTGCTGCTCTGCAGGCCTTATATAGTCTATTCTAAATCGTATTAAAACTCTACTAATTCACTCTTCTACCTCTTTTAACCCTACCACTTTGATGATTCACGTCCCTCTCTCAGGTCCTCTCATATCCCTTCCGCCCCCACTTCCTAAATGTAGATAGTGCCGTCACCTACACCCCCTAGCGTTTATATAAACTTACACTTCTACTTCTAATCAGACATGTTTAACAACCATTGAATTTTCGATGAAAATTCCATGCCGCAAGGCAGATACATCAAGTATGGAAGCAGAATCTTCCAAGTTTATAAGGTCATATTTCTGAATTGACAAGATGAGTAGAGGTCAGAAACGGTAGAATTGATTAGAACTTAGATAATAATATCGCGTACATACTGAAGAGTGACAATAACGGATGGTAACAGTAAATAGGGGCTGTTGTTATCATTTTCATGTGAAAGAATTTATCGAAAGAGGGCTTTTCGACAGTCAGTAACCCTTATACACTAACTATTTCCGTAAATCTCCAGCTTCCTCACTTGGGCTATCTCCTCCAATTATCATCGCCATATCTCCACGTCTATTACAGAATAATATATTCCAAGTGGAACAACTAAGTTCATTTCCGGCGCCCTTTCCCTAACCCAAACTTACATCTCTACTAGTCATAATTGTCAACAACCATTCATATGAATTCTATCCAATTGAGAAAAAATAATAATATATATCCTGGAATCGCCTGCACCCATCGAGAAAAGCAAAATTCCAGTCAAACCTAGATAAACTTTATATATATCCCCAATCTCTTTTCCATGAGTTAAAGATCCCCAATTCACTTAATCTCAGCCCCCTCTATATGCACAATCTCACATTCATTGTTCCGATACTGGGTATATCGTCAATTTCCCTCGCTTAACTCACTCCCCTCATCCACTCCTCGTCAAGACCCACTAAAATCTTACATCCTAAGCGATGTAAGCAATCCACTGAACCCTATATAAATTCCCTCTAACCTCTGAGTTTTCAGATCATAAGCAAAAGAACCAAACACTTTCATAGCTGAAGGAGTGACTCCTCAAGTAAGCAAAGTACTAAGGCAGGCGAAGGGTGCCTTTGCAGATAAAGATTTTGAAACTTGAAACTGTAGACCTGAAGCGTGAGTGGTGATGAAGATCATAAGATATTAGTACGACAAGAGTAGCAACGATAATACAATTAACAAGCATTATTATCGTCACCCATTTTCATGCCAGATTTGCATGTTTGACGTTGATTGAAATTTCTTCTCGAAATATCTCAACCCTCAATCTTTTCACACTATACAAAGCCCTCTTCGAATCACAACACTGTTTCTCAGTGCTCACACTCGCAACATTTTTACAAGAACCCGAGCGATCCCTTGGCATAGGTTTTCCATCTTGTGTCTCTTTAGAAAATAGAGGAAAAAAAGTAGATACTAGATAGCGCATGGCGTTTTATAACCCCGCTTATCTAGAATAATTTCATAGGGGATTGATTCAATATTTCATAGCCAAAAATGAGCCGGGGAGGATTCATCACTTTACCGTGCATGACCATTCACATACCCCTCTTTTCTCGCTATACACTCTACTATTCTTTGCTATTCACCTCATGAACTCTTCTATGTACCTGGTTGACCCCCTGCAGATTCATCTCCCTCCATCACACGATTTTCCTCCCCTAATATAAATATCTCTCCCTCTCCCACTCATCACTCATCACTTTACCAACTCATTTCCGTAGACACGGAGATGGATGACGTAAGACTCTCTCTGCTCTCTACTCTGCTCCATTAATTCACGCATTCACAAGTAGACCCTTAAGACCCCTTCCGTCCTCATCTCACTACTCTCAATCTTATCATCAAAGGTTTCCTCCGATTGCATAATCATTACTCTTATTACAAGAATCGACAACAAAAGAACCTCAGATGATAACTCGAATCTCAAACAAAAAACTCATCCTGTATGTAGCAATGAAGAACACAAAACAACAATTCTCAACCCGAAATCTCGACCCCTTAAAAAACCAAACAATATCCCTCTAAAACCAAGCAATCCTCCACCGCACACAAAGAACAACACTCCCATGCAAATCACTCTCTTGCCAGTACCCCAATGTACTCATTATCGATTAGTATCCGAGTTCCCTCCAACTAGAAAAAACTCCCAAGAGATCTACAGGTTTATATACACCTCCCCCTCCTCTCTCCTTCCCTTCTCTTTTAACTCTACACCAAGCTCCCGAACTCGGATATCGATCGGTAGTTCATCATTCACCCCTTTTTGAGATCATATATTGTCTATCCCTTGCCCTTCCCCTTCCGCTCTATCTACTCCTTCCAAGACCCACTTGAAGAAAAATTACAAACCATCAGCTATCCAATCCTCCTACCCCTCTTCAATCTCCTCACACCAAGCTCCTCGTATTTCGATCTACTGAGATTTAAAATCCAACAGTTTTTAATATTTTGTCGTAATTCTCAGAACCACAATTCGAGTTATTCACCTACTTTCTTTCCCTAGAAATTCTCTCAAGTCTTTGATTCATTGTTGTCCTCATTCTTTCTCCTCTTTCCAAGGGTTTCATCTCCTTTCTCTTCCCATATCAATTCACCCCCTCTTACCCCTCCCTTTCCACCCCTCTTACCCCTCCCTTTCCACCACCTCTCCTCCCCTCTTTTTCCCCCCTCCAATTATATAAACACCCTCACCTCTCGCCATCACCCCATCACCCCAATCTCCAAGCACACAATAATCCAACAATAAACGAGAATATTCCAGGGTCAACCCCCCGTCCCCTCTCAGTGCTCTCATCCATATTCCCCTTTCCCTTGTAATCCCCATCCCAATCCATGAAATACCGAGCATCTCATTCCATTTCCATCTCCATCTTCAATCATTCAATCTATCTATTACCTACCTATCTACCTATATATTCATTAAAAACATCTCAATATTCTATCTTTTATTTTCTATCTTTTATTTCCCATTTCCTATCTCCTATTTTCTATCTCCTATTTTCTATTTTTTATTTCCCATCTTTTATTTCCTATCTTTTATTTTCTATCTTTTATCTTCTATTTCTCATTTCTTATCTCCTATCTCCTATTTCCAATTTCCTATTTCCTATTTTCTATTTCCTATTTTTTATCTCCTATTTTCTATCTTCCATTTTCTATCTTTTATTTCTATCTCCCATTTCCTATTTCTCATCTCCCATTTCCTATTTCTCATCTCCCATTTCCTATCTCCCATCTTCCATCTCCTATCTCCCATCTCCCATCTCCCATCTTCCATCTCCCATCTCCCATCTCCCATCTCCCATCTCCCATCTCCCATCTCCCATCTTCTATTTCCTATCTCCCATCCCATTCTTTTTCCTAATCATCAATCACTCACCCACCACATCCCCACCATAGGAATTTCGAGGCAAAATCACTCGCCAGTATTTCGGAGCGCCTAATATTCGACACCTAATAAATCTTTAATATCAAAAGATTGAAAGTAAAGCTTATTCTTTATTTTTCGTTTTAGTTTTTTCTATTCTTTATGTAATGGAACTACTAAAATATCACGTTTTATCTAGATTATATAAATTATACCTAGTATAAATTGGATTCCTGAATATAGAAAATATAGAAAATATACACTATAAAAAAATTCTGTAAAATCCAACGCATAAATTTCTTTCGCTAGATTCCAAAATATAATAGGTTCAATAACAAATCCAGAATACATTCAAAACCATTACTAAAACCATTACTAAAACCATTACAAAAACCATTACAAAAACCATTACAAAAATCATCACAACATAACCCTCAACTCAAACCTCACATCTCAACTCAAACCTCACATCTCACATCTCACCTCCCTACTTCTTCACCACACACCACCACATCTCTACACCCATTCAAACATAAACAAACAAAGTAAATTCATCTCCATCTCCATCTTGCTCTTGCTCTTCAAGCCCCGGTATCATAGTTTTCACAATTGGAAATTTCTTCGATTGAATCGCTATCGATTTAGCTATCTAGTTATCTAGCTATGAAAATGTGAAGATGTGAAGATGTATAAATATACAAATGTACAAATACTGAATAAAACATCGATATATAGCAAAAACTGGATTATAGCTAGCGAATTTATTCCTTCTAAGATTACATTTCCTTTCAGTTCGAGGTAGGTAGATATGCTTGATACAAACTTTGAGTACCTATCCACGCATATACCTACAAGCAGATAGCACTAGCACTAGCACTAGCACGAGCACCGCCTTTGACAAATAACCTCTACATAGCCATCACATCTTTATCTCACTCCATTCTCATCCCTTCCCTTCCCTTCCCAGCTCCACCCCCCAAATATTCAACACCACCCCTCAAATATTCAACTCCTAACCCCCAAAACACACAATCTCCCTCCCACCCTCTCTCCCCCAGCATCCCCCACCCACCCAAAACACAAACTAACTCTCAACCCCACCATTCTACACTCCAACATCTTCACCTCTTCAACTCCCATCTGGCAAAGCTCCTCTGTTCCTCTCCCTAATAATTCCTTCCACGCCTTCTCACTCCAGACTAATTTCCCACCACTTATCATTCCCGTCTCATCGATCAATGTCGCAATGACTTTCGGATTCATGATAAGTTGTAGGAGTTTCGAGCAGTGCGGACATTCGAGACTGGGGGTGGGTGAGTAGAGTTGTATACCGCAGCTGTGTATAGTGGCGGTGAGTAAGAATCTTCATCGCGATCCAGAGTACAAGAAAAGACAAAACTGCAAAGAAAAGAAAAAAGAAAACAAACCATTCCCCACAAAACAACATATTCCTCCTCCAAATCTTCACCAAGCTCAATTCCACCAACACAACACTAATCCAGCCTGTGAAAACCTCTCCCTCTCCACCTCTAACCCACTCCTCCACATCCCTCAGCCCAAATAATGCCGTTCTAGGTCCATAAATTGCTTCCTCAATATCTTCCTCCCCCCAAACTTCACTTGGAAACTCCACTCCTATACTCTCTTTCCTCATCAATCCATTTGCCCATTTCCTCAACCAATTCGCATCTGCGAATTCCGGTTCCACATCTACCATTGTATTTCTTCCCCAACAGATTATTCCTTTACCTCCATAATCAAGCTTATGCATTGGGTTCGAAACGAGTAGGATGGTTTTTCCTGGTATCCATTCCTTCACACTCTCGATCAAATCCGACCAACATTTCATTTTTGTTTCGCCAGTATGATCGAAGAGTATCATTTCAATAAGATCTGATTCCCCTCCATCTTTTTTGACAATCTTCTTCTTGGCTCCGATACTCTTTACACAAACGAGTAATTTCACATCTAGAACTCCATCATACCCTCCATTTAGATAAGCTTCCAATGTCATGAGCCCAGGTAATGGTTCGCCCTTAATGTAACCGAAAGGAATACGACAAACGTCTGCAGCACCGGAATGAGTATGAATCATCAAATGATCACTCGTGTTGCGACCAGGAAATAAATTTGCGCAAACGAGAATACCAGCTGTAGATGCACCGTCGGCTTTCGAAGTATCAGATATGAAGGCTGTCCAAATTGAGAGAAGTTGACCTAATTTGAGGGGGTAAGATTGATTTGCGAAATATAGTTTTATCTACATTGGGGACTCAATGTCAGTTTGAGACAACCTCTTTGGCAACTTTCGGGTAAAAGAATATGCATTGCAGTAGCGATTGAGTTGAGTGGAAGACAAGACATGAAAAGCGAATTAGAAACCACTCACCGAAACAACACCACCTTCTCCTCTAACACCAACATAATGCCATCCCCTAGCTCTTGGTTGTTTGGCACTTTTTCCAATAATTGTCGCGAAACTGACCACTCTACCTATGAATGTAACTGCTTTTGGTCCTAGGAGATCCAAGAGTCAGTAAATCTTTCATAGAATCGTGTAAATAATTTTCACAGGTTCTTCTCCGCTAGTCATCAAGTTCTGCAAGTACCTTGATACTTAACGCAAGAAAACAACATTGTAGAAATATCTCAAACGGATAGACCATCAAGACATGATCCGTATACTTACCCCCCTCCCCCCAAATACAGAGAAACATACGAAAAGTACATACCAGGAATCAATTCTCCCACAGCCAAACTCTCATACTCTCTACTCGGATTCCACTTTTTAGCCAAAGGATCCATGGCCTCATGTAATTCTTCTTCCTGTTATCACACCGAGTATGTCAGTCATCGAATTTTGATCAATACTATTTCTCCATATATTCCAACTTCCACCTTCTTCATCTTCTCTCGCCATTCTCATCATCCCTTCAATCGCACACGCCAAGTGCATCTCAACTCCACAAAGTTCAAAAACATGACATAAAATGCAAACCCTGAATACTTGAGAAAATAAACTCTCCAAAGATGAAAGGAAAGTCCTGACCAAGAGGAACTGCATAAAATAAACCAAGCTGCTCAATCTCTCGTATGAACTCACCGTAAATCCATCTCCAAATTCAACTTTCCCATCTTCCCCATCTTCCCCATCTTCCCCATCTTCCCCATCTTCCCCACCCCTCTCTACTCCACCACCATCCCTCCCAAACCCATCACCCTGTGTACTCCCTCCCCTCCCCTGCAAGTTCGAGTTACCCACCACACTCAAAGCAGACATTCCTTCATCCCCTTTAACTTCCTTCCGAAAGAAACTCTGAATCGATGGATACTGCGACGGCATTTTCTCTTCCTAATCTCTGCTAATCGTTCTCAGTTTCTAAACTTTCACATCCGAAAGCTTCAATGTAGATTAGATACCGCTCTCTTCAAATCAACAGGAGATAAACAACCATCCGATCCACCTCTGACTTGACGGGCGCAATAGATACAGCATACGCACAAGCAGAAGGTATGATGTAAGATACAAATTATCACCAGTGATATGAATGTATAGCATCAAACGAATCCACACAACTAAATCCATCTCGACTCACCTCACAATCAACCTCAATTTTTAAACTTCCTCAACGAGATCGAAAAAATTCCGATCCTGCGAAGAGAACGAAGAATTTATATCGAAGAAGAAGAAGAAGAAGAAGAAGAAGAAGAAGAAGAAGAAGAAGAAGAAGAAAGAGAACACACCAATCAATCTGAAAGTAAAACGTCCTCAAAAGGTACCAATCATTCATCCCCTACACAGAAACTCAATAATTAGAAGATGATCGTACAGATAAGGTTCCGAAAAAGTCAGAGTACTCAATGAATAAAAGAGTATGAAAAAAAAAAATTGAACTCCCCAACAAGATCGCGTAGAATCTATCTAGGTAGTATCCCGGAAAAAAAAAGATGAACAAATACATTCATTACACAGAGCAGAAAATTTACAAATCGCAAATCTCAAAACACAATAACCAAGCAAAAAAATGAAAACGAAAAAGAGAACCCGAAAGTAGAGATAGAGAGTCCACAAAGAGAGAGAATCCATTGGTACACCAAAAACAACAACAATCAAGAAAAACATCTCGAGAGAAAATTTGGAATGTGAAGAAAAGACAGCTTTTCTCACACCCAAGAAAACCTTCCCTCCCACCCTCTCCATCTAAATCCCGTTCCAGATCCAGAAATTCCGAAGAAGAAGACCTCTCGAGAACCCATTTTCCTCAATCAGCAGATCCCTCCAAGCTCCAAGAGAAAAACTACATAGGGACATAAGAATCACCCCCTCCCTTCCGTCCCCCCTCTCCACAAACCAACAATCAAATCAGTTCAATCGATGATGCTAGGGGAAAAAACAATACAATCAACAATACGATAAATGATAAAACCCAAAGTCCTGTCTCTCCCCCAACACAGAAGATATCTTCATACACCAGCACATACACACCGACACCAACACCAACGCACGCACACATACCTCTCTCCTCCCTTATACTACCAGTAACTACCAGTACACAAAACAAAACAACAATTCAGAAAAACATCAAGTGCAAAGATTCCCTCAAACTCCCCTCTCTTTTTCCCCCTCGAATCCTCTCCCCTAGAAAATAATACCATACAATACAAACTCTCTCCCCTTCCCCCCTTTCTCCCAAATCCAAAAACTGGAAAAAAAACCAGACCCAAAAAACACCCAAAACTCAAAAAACACACTCAAAAAACACACTCAAAAAACACACTCAAAAAACACACTCAAAAAAAACCATAAATACCTCTCAAATGTCCCCTCTCCTCAAGTATCCCCTCAAATCTCCCCTCTCCCCTCTCCTCAAGCCCCTCTCCCCTCCCCTCAAGTCTCCTTCCCCCTTCCTCCTTCCTTCCTCCTTCCTTCCTTCCTCCTTCCTTCCTTCCTTCCTTCCCTCTACTCTACCAAATCAATCAACAATCAAATCAATCAACAATCAATTCAAGATTTCAATAGATAAAACCTCTCAAGTTCATCAACATCTCAAGTTCATCAAGATTTCGACTTCGTTCATCAACATCTCAAGTTTCATCCATCCAACTCTACTGTCGCGATACACCTCGATATACCTCGATATACCTCACTTCTTCACCTTCTACACAAATGGGAATCTGCTTGGATCACAATTTGATCAATGAGGATTGATAAGTGCGAAATCAATTCAATGGAGTAAATGTTCCCTTCAAAGACATGTGAGATGATGATTCGGAGATTTCGGAAAATTTAATGGTCAAAGGTGAAGATATTCATTGGGAAGTGAAACAAGTGTTCAGGCAATTCGCGCTAATGACCGTTTTCCTCGCTCCTTCCCCAACTAATGAATTCCCGGCACGAACACCAAAATGTATCAGTTGGAATCACTAGAAAACACTAGAAAACATCGGACATTTTTACACAATCCAGAAGAGTAATGTTTGAAGGTTTAAGATACTTCAATTTTCAATAAATCTATTCTAGGTAATGAATGAATGCATGGTACTTAGGTATCACCATGAGGTAAACAAGAATACTAAGCAATTCAAGGGTCCATCAAAATCCCGCCACCATGAAATTCGAACAATCCACAACCCCCGACCAAAGACACAATCTAATAAAGCTTGTGTTCCAAGGTCATATCATTCTCTGGTTCAAGACCAACACAAGCACGGAAAATGTTGATCAAAGCACCACGTTGCTTGGCAAGTGCATTGACAACTGGAGCTCCAGGTGGAGTCAAAGGTGCCTTGAGCATATAACTGAGAATGCTAAGAACACTGTGGAAGTTCTTATAATCCTTGGTGGTAGCACCATCAGTAGAATGTGCCTTCCATTGAATACGAGTCATCATCTCTGCAAGGACAACAAGATCAATGATCAATGGTGAAGCAAGAAGAGAATCCTCGCAAACATTGAAGAGACTATTTATGATTAGTCGAGTGTATAATGTGGGCATTGATTGAAAAATAACTTACGAAATGGTTTGATGACCTCCCATGAAAATCTCAGCATAGTACTCATCAAGAGCACGCTTGTTATCACCGACAGCTGGCATGTACTTGATGACAACACAATGATCAGGATGTTCACCTTCCTTGTAGAGGACATTGTTAGCAGCTACCATGTCATCGACAACATTGGATTTAGAAATCTCCTTGGAACGGAATTGCTTCTGAGAGCTGAGATTCTTTCCATCATTGTTACCAAGATGATTGTAACTGGAGATAGCAGTAAGCTTGATACCGGCACTGATCAAGAAGTCGACAAGAGCAGACTTCATCTTGGTTTGACCAGATTTGAAGTCATCACCACCAATGAAGGAGTTGTGCTTCTCTGCGAGCTCAATGCAACCAGGAACAAATGTGTTTTGTGGAGAACCGTTGATGAAAGGTGCGTTCTCGAGAATGCAAGCAACAGCAAAGATAGTGGAAGGCGCAACTTCTTCGTGTCCGTTCTCGATAGCTTTCAAAAGATTATCGGCAGTGTCATTAACGCCATCAATGAGTTCAGCAAAACGTTCAGTGTTGGCAGTCCAGAGAACAATGACCTTATCGAGTTCGTTCTTGGCCTTGAAGTCACTGTGAAAAGAATGTTAGTGGATGGTAATGGAATAAAGAGTAGACCACTGTGAATGCTTACCGGATATCTTGACGAATCTTTTCAACATGCTCATTGCAAGCCTTGCTACCTGGGATAAGGTTGTCGGCACGATCTTCTTGATTGGCAGCAATGAAATCTGGGTAGTAAAGACCAGGAAGTGGAACCAAGTCAGTCATTTCCTTCTTGATTTGTTGCTTCAAGGTAGGTTCGAGGACACCAGCACGATCCATGGCATCAGACAAGTTGAAGCCGCTGATATCCCATCCACCAATGACCAAATCATTAGGGTGAACCATTGGCAAAGCTTTGTGGAAAGGAATGTTGACATCATCACCAGTCTTTGCATTAGTACCAAGTTTCATGGTTGAACCCATGACAACGGAGCCATAGTAGTTGTGCTCACGGGTACCCTCACGAGTTGCCCATGAAAGGCCACGGCGGTTAGCAATGATACCGGCAGTGACAGTTGTACCATTGTTTCCACCCCAACCGACAAGCATCATACCTGTCTTGGGGATCTTACGTTCAACCTTGAAGTCATAGACAGTTTCTTTGGGAGTAGCAACAAAGTTACCATTGGCAGACTGAGTGACCGCGGTAGTACGATAATTGTACTTTGAGCGAATCTCGTCATCAGTGTAGAGAACGTTGGGAGAGCTAACGGTGAACAAGTCTTGGTTAGAGGATTGGGAGGATGCACCATCCATAGTGCTGGTGTTGCTGGAGCCGTTTGCGTGAGGAGCCATCTTGATTGATTTGAAAACTCGAAAAGTTCTTAAAAGTGCTTGGCAGTTCTTGATTTAACGTAAAGATGTTTGAGAGTATCTTGGAATTGATGTAGATGTGTAGGTAAAGCAAGAATTGCAATTGTATGAATGTTTTCGAGTTTTGATGGGTACTGATGTATAGACAAAAAGTGATGCAAATGTTGTGTATTGGAGAAGAAGAGTTCTGTTGATTGCAAGACTATTTATCTAACAAACGGCGAGTCCGATGCTCCTGCTGGAGAAGAGCAACGGGCACCAGCAAAAGGATGGTGCGATCTGTGGATGACTTGTTAGTATGCCATATTGTCAAGAGGTTCCTCCCTCAACGGGGGATTGTGAGAGGTTGAAGTGCATATTAGGAAGGAAGTATGAAATTTATGACGAGGAGATCGTAAGATGGGTGACGACCACAATGTAAACAAGGAAACTTATGGAAGGCAGCAACCGCAGAATCAATACAATATGAAGGCATAGGATGTTCCTCCCTTCATTAGGTATCCAAGAGAATGGGAAGCCATTGACAAGGAGAAGGTAAGATACACCCGCGATCGCATGTAAACATTGCAAACCATGGAAGGCAACAAGCAGCAGATATTGACAATCAAACAATCTCCAATCCATCAAGTGCAACTGAGAGTACAGATGCACAGGAAGTTCCTTCTTCCTCCCTCCCTCCCTCACCCATCCTCCATCCACGGCAGAAAGAGCATATTTTGTCTCTGAAAACATGATCAAAATAAAATTCAATACGTACGAGTTAAGAAGATTAGAAAACGTCTTGACGACGGGGTGATCACACTCGTAAGTGCGATCTGTTTAATTGACTTGAGGTGAGTGTTGAAAGGGGTTTGCTTTGGCAGTTGATCTTGATCGTCGGTCAAATGTGATTCGAAGTATATGGGTATTGAATGGAAGTCTGAACTTCGTGGGGAGTCG